CTAGACTCAGATTCAAGGGCAAATAAAACTGCTCTATAAACACCCAGGCCTATACATGTGTGTTTATATGAATATGCATATATTTATATAAAGCATTTTCGACAGGTTAATGCATGTGTATACGTATATATATAGTGTGTATATATAGTATATATGTATGTATGCATATTTATATGTATATAAAACTTTAAATGTTCTTTATACATATATACAGCCTTAAAATAATATGTGTGGGGGTTTTTTGGGGGGGTACGATTTTAAACTATTAACACATATAGATGCATTATTTATTTGTATATTTTAATAATATAAAACTACATTTAAGTTTTTGGGAAAACACATTTAGCATACATAAATTATATAGATATAAATATATGGTATTTATATAGCACTTTAGGGTGGCAAAGTATCATACATATATGACCACATTTGAAACTTTGAGTCTAGGTAGAAGGGGATGAAGTCAGTAGATTAAGGGAATGTGGTATGATGACAAAAGCAAGCACTATAGCTAGCTAGATGACAATGATAATGATGAAAATGGACAGATAGATAATAAATATATCTAAATATATAACAGCACATATATTCTGACATAACTTTAAAGTGCTACATGATATATGTTTTAAACTATGAAAGCATATATATGGATATATGCATATGGAAATATATACATGTCTTTGCATATATGTATGTGTGTGTGTGTGTGTATCTGTGGGAGAGAGAGAAACAGAGAGAAATCATGGACATGGAATGAACTTTATGAACCACGGACTGTCACAGACACACACACACACACACACATGCACATACACACAGACACTTTTAACTGATTTTGCCCCAGGCAGAAGAATCCCTACTTTCCTTGCTTGTTGCGGCTCTGCTGCCTAGACAGTCACCTAGATGCCTTTGTAAATTCTTTCTCTTTACCAAGTTTATTGATAGGATCATCCTTTTTTTTCCCCTTTAGCTTTCCAGTCAACCTTTCTCCCATTGTTCTGATTCTCCCACCCAAATACAATTTAACAATTACAAACCAGCTGCATCTAAATTGTTTACAATAGTCTCCTCAAAAAAAGAAAAAAGAGTATATTTAGAAAACACATAAACGCAGAAGAAAGACTGTCCACTCCATAAGGAGAAAGCAAACTATGTAAAAAATTTTTGTAAAGTCAAGGGATTGTCCCCTCTCTTCCATAATTCCCTCTCCCTAATTTCCTCTCCCTGCCCATATCCAGATAGAAATGTTCATTCAGAAGGATACAAATAATTGAACTTTGGGGAAGATATTGTTTTACATAATATTGAGATTTGGAAAAATACACAATCATTTTATGAAATCATTAACATGTGAGATAGATTGATGTTTTTATTTTCCCTAACATTATGAAAACTGAAAAATGCTAAAGACTTTTCCCCTGGTCACATGACAAGCCAAGGCCTGAAATGAGATGAGGAGCCGCAGAGTGCACAAACAGCACTGGCTTCCTAGCAAATTGTCTATTTGCAAATCTGAGCTCTGACAATTATTAACTTGGCTAGCTCTCTTAATTTCTTTGAGCCTCAGTATCCTTGTCTGAACAATAATGATAATAATCCTTACATAGCCTATCTCATGGGGTTCACCACATTACATGTATAGAAGTGGAAAGGTCCTTTGAGGACATCTAATCCAAATTTCTATTTATTACAGATGAAAAAACTGAGGCCTTGAGATATCAGGTGGTTAAATGACTTCCTGAAGTTACACAGGTAAGTGGAATTTAAACCAAAGTGCTTTGGATAAATCTAGTACTCTGAAACTGTACCATATTGCTTGTTTTATAAACATGAAGGCATGACATAGATCCTAACAATTATTATGAATGTTATGATTAATCTGGGGCTTTTGATTAAGAAAACAGTTATTTAATTCACAAAGTTCCTTAGTGCTACGTATGGGCCTATACCACAGGACCAACATATCAAGAAATAAAGAGTTAAATTTTTCAGGACAAGAAAGGGTCTGAGGCTAAGACCAAATAGTTTGAGAAGCAAGAATTTAAGCCCTAGGCATGGGGGAATAAGTTAAGGACATGGGAAATCTCCAGGAAGAATACAAATTAATACGAAGGAATTTCATAAGGTTCTTCATATAGGTAGTCAAAGTTGAATTGCTTTCAGAACTTCCGTGAGCTCAAAACCATAAGCTAAGACAACTAAACAAAACTACATTTATCTGGGTAGTGTTGAATGGTAGTAAGACATCTTTAATTACCACAGACCCCAAATCAGTAACCATTTCAAATACCATAGCCTGGGTTCCCAATGACTAGTACTTTGATTCTAAATCCTGGAACCCTCAAGTAGCTAGACTTATAGTAACTACTTCTCCTACCAGTTTAATCAACCTGAAATTGATTCCACTAGCTAATTGGGCCTATCATGCCTGCCTACTCCTTCTTGCCTCTATTACCCTCCCTGGATCTGACTTTTTGGTCATGAGATTTATAGTATTTTGGCATCCTGGTATTTTCTAACTTGAGGCAGTTCTTTCTTGGCTTTCCCCATACTGGTACCAGCTGTAAATCAGCATGAAAATGAATGTGAAATAAAATATTGTAAAGTTCTAATGTCCTTGTGACAATCATAGGAGACATGTACATCATAGATTAAAGTACACTTCAGTATGCCACAGTTAAGTAATGATCTAGGGAAATACCCCTCCACACCTCAGTAATGGATCTTCACTTGTTGGGGTAACCAAATCTGTACCAACCTCATGGTCATCCTTATGGGGACAAGAATCTCCAAACTTGGCTAGAGCGCTCCTCAGACAGCAGACTCTTGACCCCTTGCCCCACAGTCTTTATTAAAAAGCCTTTCTAACTAGGTAAAAAGCTTCTGTCTAACTGGCCAAAGCTTGTGTCCTTCTTCTTAATCTCATATTCAGTGACATCTCCATATCACAACAAAAGGATTGGAAAAACAACCTTACAGAAACAATGCCTTTTGATTCTAGAACCAAAGCTCTTTCTACCCTATTACTCTGCCTCTAGGAATTACTTCAGAGAACAATTATTCCCCCAAAACAGTAAAAACACATTCTACCATTGCTGCCTATTTGTGAAATAAGTGGAAATTGATCACGTACAACCTCTGTGACCAATAATCTGACTTAAATTGAAGTGTATGATCATAATAAAAATATCACTATTTTTTAAATGAAGGATTATCCTTCATACTGCTATCATATAGGAAATAAAGTGAAGGACATAGTTTGGTCTGACACAGTAAAATTATTTATCTCAGGCAGCTCCAGCCAACTTATAGTTAAAGACAAAGAAATATACCACAAATAGCACACACCATTATATATTCAAGGAGAGAGTAAGTCACCAATCTACCAGGAAAAGTTTCCTGTTTAAAATTGCACAAATAAGACTTCAATCCTATAGCAAATCAGTTCTAGGTACTTAGCCAAATTCCATGAGTATGGTTAGACTAAACTATTGACACAGATCTCATTAGCCCAAATAAAATATGTCAATTCACCAACAACCACAGGAAGAAGCACATATTAGAATTTATGAGTGTGTATACACACAGAAACATATATATATATATACATATAGGCACACATACATATATATTTAATGTTATATATATTATATTAAATACAAAAAAGGGAAAAAAATGATCCCTCCAGCACATTATTTCTTTCATAGACTTGAAATGTTTAAAATTTGTCTGGAACATGGAAGTCTTAAAAGGAATACCACTCAAGGGTGGGGAACCTGCGGCCTCGAAGTCACATGTAGCCCTCTAGGCGCTCAAGTGTGGCCCTTTGACTGAAGATTTGTTCTGTGAAGTTTGGATTCAGTCAAAGGGCTGCAATTGAGGACCTAGAGGGCCACATGTGACCTCAAGGCTGCAGGTTCCCCACCCCTGGAATAGGTCATACCTGGAAGGTTTAGCACCAGAACAAATGATTTCTTATCATATAGCCACTATCTGGCTATGTAACCAGAGACCACTTGCAGTGTTTGTAAACCTTCCAGGTATGACCTATTTCATTTAAGACTTCCATGGATAGATAGATGGATAGATAGAGAGAGAGAGAGAGAGAGAGAGAGAGAAATACATCTATTTATATCTATCTATGTATAGATAGATAGATAGATAGATAGATAGATAGATAGATAGATAGATAGATAGAAAGATAGATAGATAGACAGATATAGATAGATATAGATAGGTATATCTACACGAACATATAAGGAACATTTGGTGCCCATAGAATAAGTCAAGAGCTAGTGATTGCTGCACAGAAGGTTCCCACAGAGGATTTGTCTTCCCCTCAGTGGTACACAGAATTCCTATCAACTCTAATGGGAATTGGGCACAACACGGGAAGGAGCAGAAACTGCCTGATTAGTGATATAACACCATCGAGTGCCTTTAAAGTTGAGCATCTTCATCAAACTTCCACTATTAAACTGTTCTTTTGGTGTATCACAGCCTGTTCTTCTGGACTGTTACCAAGGGGATACTTAGAAATCCACTTCTGTTCAAAGAAAGTCAATTCTTACCATGTCGTTTACCAAATCCATTAGCTAAGGACAAGAATAAAACAAATGGATGAGTTCCTCTGTCTCTCTCTGTCTCTCTCTGTCTGTCTCTGTCTCTGTCTGTCTGTCTGTCTGTCTGTCTCTCTCTCTCTCTCTCTCTCTCTCTCTCCCCTTTCCTCCCTCCATCCCATTCTCTAACTCTCTCACTGTCTTTCTCTTTCCCTGTCTCTCTGCTTTTCTCCCCATCTTTGTCTCTGTCTCTATCTCTATCTCTCCATCTCTGTCTCTATCTGTTTCTCTCTCTTTCTACTTTCACTTTCATATTGTTTATCTCATCTATAACATCCTCCTACAATCCTCCTATTGCCCCAGTAATTATATAAAGTCTATGCATCCTAAACAGATTCTCTTTTGCCTTGAATGGCTCAGCAAGATTCCATTTATATTTACCGTTTTATTGCTTCTTCTTGTTTGCGGCGTTTTTCATTCTTTTCTTTCAAGTAAGCCAGGTTTGTTTCATTCCGTAAGCGATCATTCTCTCGAGCAATGTCTGATGCATTCTGAATAACCAAGCCATCATAGGCCTTCATTCCCATATCCTCTATATACTGGAGAAAAGCATCCAAAGTGTCCTCCTCTGAATTAGAACTCATCATCTTGCAGGAGATCATGTTAAAAAGGAAGAAACACTTTCCTGCAAGTGGAAAACACATTATACCTTCATCAGTGGGAAAACAGCTTGCAGTTTATTATAGCTAAAATCTTGTCAGTTCCCATTTGTAAAACTTAGGGTAAAACATATTTGGAAATTTTCCCTACAGGGAACCAAAGAATTTGGATAACATATTAACAGGACTTAGTTTAAGTTACAAATGGCAAACAACCTAATAAAATAATGGATTTGGGTTTCTTTGGTTTTCAGAACTAAAAGAATTGATAAATAGAATATGCCTATTTGTGTCTAATAGTGACCATCTCAAGAACAAGGAGAAGAGGGAGAAGGAAAAAGGGAAAGGAAAAAGGAAATTTACATGATAATGCTGTTGTATATTTAAAAAGAATACCAAGTTATACATAGTAGATTTGCAGTTTCATGTAATTTTTTAAAAATTATACCATGTTATGGAAATGTTTGATTTATTCCATAAATTTTAAAAAATTTTTAAAAGAGAAAGAGATCTTAGCAGTCATCAAGTCTAACCTCATTTTTCAAATGAAGAATTAAGGTTCTGAGTGGTTAAGTGGTTTGCCCAAAGTCATATGAACCAATGACAGTCAAGATTTGAATCCAGATCCTCTGACTATAATTCTAAGGCTCTTTCTACTTTTTTTTTCTGAAATGCTATGTCAAGAAACATGCTGTCAAATAAAGAAGACATTGTTAATTCTACATTTTCAAAACATCAAGAATACATTTTTCCTTTCACCCTAACATCTCTGAGGAGTGTATTTTGGGACAAGGAAGCTGTTTGGGTGTTGTTTTATCAATACATTTTTAAAAAGAAATGTTATGTCAAATCACAATTACTTTATTTTCCAAGATGAAACTATGGCTTGGATAATAATTACTGTCGTGGGTGTCATTGCTCAAAATGTCATCCTTGTATGGATGAGATATGAAATCACATCTGATTATTTCTTATTACCAATCACTATAAAAGTTTCCTCCTTTCAATCTACATAAATTGGAAATGAATTTTTTATTCCATTACTTAAATTTTCCATTTGCCACAAAAATTTATGAAACAAACGTGTTCAAGTAGAATTTCCCTACAACCCAGAAAATATAAATTGCTAATAATATTTGCCAAGAAAGCATATCTATGTGCTAACAGTCTTCTATTTTCTCAAGTAGCAACATCACCTGGAATAATGCTTGATATTCATACAGAACTTTAATTCAAACCTCACAAGTATCACCAATTACCACCTCATTAACCCTCACCATATCTTCCAAGACCACACATAATAATATCATTTTCATTTTCATGTTATAAAAGGTAGGTTAAAATGAAGAAGTGAATTTATCCACAGGTAACTTGGGGGGGGGTGATGGAGATCCCCAAGTCTTACATCCTCCTTTTATGTGGTTATATGGGGATGAATATAAAGTGAATTAAATAGCTAAGTAGCTAGACTGATCCAGATTGGAAGAGGTGTGGAGCAGATATTAGTGAAAATCCATTACCACAAACAAATGAGGCTATGACTGCTCTCTGTCTCATTGAGCCTCAGTTTTTTCAGCTATAAAATGAATGGATTAGATCATATAGCCTAGGACATCACTTCCAGCTCTGGGTTCATGATCTGATGACTTAGTAAATCTTCTCTAATCAACTAAAAACATTTTGTAAAACTTTAAATGCTAACCTATGTTATAAGTATGTTATTGTACTACTGTTCATGCTGGCTGGCCTTGGATATATGCTCCCAATGACACTAGTAGTTGTATTAAAATTGTGACCATTTATCCATGACACAATATATTGGGAAGTGTATGGTGAGAGGGCAAGAATGTATTAGGAGAAGTATTGACTAATTTTAGTTTTGCCCTTGGTCTGCTGAATGATCTTAGTCAAACCACTTTTTTTTTCTGTGACTCAGTTTCCTCATGTATACAATAACAAGGTTGGGCTGGATACTGTCTATGGGTCTCTCTAGTTTCAGACATCCATAATTTTTGAGCTTTCATCATGATAGTCACTTGGAAAAACTAGGGGTGAAATCAGAGCATCTAAAGAAAAATTACTCCTCCCACTATTACATGCCTCTTACTCCACTGTCCTGCTTGTGTTTTCAGCCTTTATAATTCAGAATGATTTTTGGAATTGATTCGCAAAGTTGTTGAACATAGACAATCAAGTTCCAGCCTTTTTATCTTGGCACTCACAAAGTACTCCATATCTCATCTTTTCTGAGAGTGATAATTATAATAGCTAGCTTTTATGTAGAGTTTTAAGGTTTGAAAAGTGGGTTTACTAGGATCTGATTTGATTCTTACAATGCTGAGATGTAGGTGCTAATACTATTCTCATTTTCCAGATAAGGAAACTGAGGCAGACCAGTGGTTAAATGACTTGACCAGGGACATATATTTATTAAGTGTCTGAGTCTGCACTTGAACTCAGTTCTTCCAGTTTCTATCTAAAATTCTATCCACCATGCCACATAGTTAATAGTACGTGTCATGCAAATCAATGAAAATACTCTAATTTTATCTGCTGAGGAATTCTTGCACATATATTATTACACATGTTATTATACATTCTTGGACAGTACAGGACACTTTTTCCTTCTGAAGTCCACGTCACATTCCAAAAATAGATAATTTGGGCATAGAAACTGATATAGTTGTTTGTTGACTAATGGGTTTTCTTGAGGTCTTTTTTTTTTATTTTAGCAGTAATAATGTGCTAAGTGGGATTGTCTTTTTTAATTTCAATTATTATCTGATGTAATTTAATTGTATTTAAGGTCTGGAAATCAAACCAGAAGAATAAGTAATGAGCATAGGTACTTACAGAAAGTTATTACTACAAATAAGAGGGCTTTTGCAGGGTGGGTTAGGAGGGGTAGGTGATTCTACAAAATATTCCCTTTGTACTTAAATGCTTTGTAGAATAAAGGTTTAGCTATTATTTTAGACTCCTATTTGCAGTGGACTTTACCATTTAAAGAATCTGGATTTTTAAAGTAACACTTTGATTTTATGATCATTAATTTCTACTGTAATTATGCAAGCCAAGACAAGGTTCTAATGATTTCAGAGTTGTTGCCTCAGGGCAAAAAGGGATCACTCCCCTTCCCATTCTAGCAAAATGTGTTTCTGAATTAGGTAAAGATATTTGCAAGTTTTCAGGTTGGGTTTAAAAAAAAAACCTTTCTTAAAACCATGTGGTGTCAGCTACTCTGTAGAATATAATACAATAGCAACTAACTAGATCCATTGATTGACTTGGCATGATAATAATAATGATCTTCCTAAGTATTTTTTTAATTGTATGGAACCTAAGTCAGTTTATTGAGAAACAATTGGATATTTTAAATTGCCCATTTCTTTCGTGGAGGCTACTCATTTAATTTCTGTTGTTATTTGTGTCTGGACCTGTGAATCCATGGTGTGGGAGCTCCCTGGTGCAGAAACTCCCTCCACCAATCAATAGCCCTGTAATTCATAATCTTGGAGACCTGTCCATGTTTCTATTCGTAATATGTGTCTGAGACCATTCCTGAGCCAGGTACTCCCGACTACACCTCCCCTCTATTCACCAGGCCATACTGCATCTTCTCAATTGTATTTCTTGAGGTGGAAATGAATGAGATTTAGGCAGTATTAAAGATTTTATGATATTATTATACACATCCTTTGGAAATCAAGTGCCAGAAATGCATCTAACACTGCACACACCAGGTACACCCTGTCTCATGCTACCAACTTTTTTGAGAATGAAAGAGGAACTTCTCAAACTACTAAGCTGAGCCATAAATATGGATCTATAAAATATATATACTTTATATATATAGTCACACTTATGTAGCCCCACCTAAGTACAAGTCAACACAACTCACTAATTCCTAAATGTTTCCTGACATCCAACCTAAATAAGACTTTTTGCAGTGTCTACTTACTGCTCCTAGTTCTAACTTTTGAGCCAAAACAGAGAAAGTTTAATTCACCTTTATATGGAAGTCTTTCAAATACTTCAAGACAGACACTTCCCTCTTTCCCACCTCCTCTCCCCATCCGAAGACCCACTACCCTGCCAATATCTTCTTTTCTCCAGGCTAAATATGCCCAATTCTTTCACTTTTTAACACTCTAACAAAAGCATTTCTCCTAGATAATCAGTAACCTTTTAATTACCAAATACAATGACATTCTCAGTTCTCATACTTCTTTAACATTTTGCTTTGTTTTGCTTGTTGTTGACTCCTCCCACCTAAATATTCTTTCCTTCTTTAGCACAATTACTCTTTGCTGGTTCTTCTTCTGCCTCTTGGACATAACTTCTTGGTTTTCTTTGGTCCATCCCTCTCCTCAACATGTGGTATTCACCCCCCTCTTAGGCAATGACCTCTTCTATCTCCTCTGTACACCATCTCCCTTGGTGAACTCATCTGATCCCACTGATTCAATTGTCACCTCTGTGCATATGACTTCCACATGAGAAATGGAATTGTTAGAGATTTATACCCAATTTCTTGCTTGAGCCCTATTTTACGGCCAGACATCTCTACTTGGAATTCAAACCCAATTCAAATAGCAATTTAAACCCAATATATCTAAACCCAAAGGCCTGCCCCAAACCTGCCTATCCCCTCTTTTCTTCTTTCTACATAGAGTACCAATATCCTCCCAGTCACCCAGATTTGAAATTTTAGCCATCATTGAATTTTCTTCTCCCTCATCCCACACATTGCTTGAGGAGTCCTGAGGAGTACAGCTACAGAATCTTTCCGATTTATCTAATTCTCTTTACTCATACAACCACCACCATATTTCAGGCCCTTATTCACCTCTCACCTGGACTTCTCTAATAAAACTCCCTACCTCCAGCCTCTCCTATCTCTAATTCACTTTTTTCCCTAATTTCTTTTATTTTTAAATTCATTTTTTTTATTTTTAATGGACAAAAAAAATTATTTTCTCTCCATCCTACCACCAACTCCA